ATCTACTCGGCCAAAAATCTCCCCTTCAGGGAAGGTACTTTATCCGCCAGCTAAATGTGAGGCATGCGTTCAACATGACTCGAGGCCCAACAACGTCGGTCCTTAATCGACAGCGAAAACTAACAAAGACCCTGAACCCCATGCAGTTGCCTCCAACTTTTCCGTCCGGGTCTCCAATTATCCATCACACATGGTTACTTCCAGGATATCATTCTTTCCATAGCTAAATTCTTCCAAATCACCTATAATGTAGGTGATCGGATATCACCGATCGCTACCGGTCTAAGCAAGGCTAAGCAATTATTCGATCCCACCTAACAGGTAAAAAAGGTAATAAGGTAGGCAAGGATAGTAATAAATGCATCAACGGTTCAATCAACTCCTACAACTTAATGCAACAATATATAACTCATATATAGAAAGATTGCTTTTATAAATTAGGAGACTTATAATGCTCCGTTGCGGGATCCGACACAAGTCAATTCAAATTTCTTGCACCGTCCTGGTGACGTCACAGGTCCTAACACTTGCTTAGTCCTTCCATCTTCGGGATAGATCCTCCATACACCGTCTTCGGGTTTGGCTCCAACATCATATTCTTCACGTGGTTCATCTAGCGCACCTAGATGAGATGCAATATGCAAGTGTATGAATATGAAGAATAGTACCATGAGATGCATCACAAAATAGCAAGCAAGGACAAGCATAGTTTACACTCACACTTAAGTACTTTGCGATGCTTAACTTAACCATCACACAATCTATCATGCTAAGATGGCAAAGAAGACTCAACACCAAGCATGACACAAGTTTTCCCAAGATCTCATGTGCTCTAACTCAGTCATCACTCAAGGCATAAGTCACACTTAACAATATACAAGCAAACACTATAATTGGAATCTGCCAATTTCTGGACATGCAAACAGCAGCTACAAGATTTAGCTATAACTGAAGTTACACAAATCCAAATGACTTGCAAGAAGACATTATGGAAATATTATGAAATTATCTACAATTCATATTTAAACCTATCAGCATGATTCCAAAGTTAACCAGGTTAAATAGGCACATTTATCAAAGCTGGTCCAGCAAATTCCAGAAAGCTATAATTTCTGAAGACCAACTTAGAACAGTCATAACTCACAAACTACTTGGCCACATGCCATGAAAATTTAACACAAGCTAGAAGTTAGGTGAGTTATCTACAACTTTCTTATTATCATCTTAAGATGATTCTACAGTTAGAAGGGTCAATTAATCCAATAATTGCATCTCTGTCCAAAACATAGACAGAAACTGACATGCCACTTTAAACAGCTATAAATGGAGTTATACATATCCAATAAATGTGGTTCTAGACTTTTAGAAAGCTTATCAAATTATAAACAACTTTGTTGTAAACACCTAATGCAAATTCTACTATTAAGAAGGCCCCACAATACCAACAAGGTAACCCTGTCAGAGTTTGGGCAGGAACAGCCACTGATATTTAAGCAAGTATAACTCAAGATCTACTTAACCAAAAATCATGATATTTAACTTTTTGGAAAGCTTAAGAAAAGTACTACAACTAATGTATTTTCACCAAGTCATGATTCATAACTTAACTGAGCCAATTAATTCAAACATGCAGAACTGTTCAGAGTAGAAGCAAAGCAATACAGGGCATTTGTTATTTTATAACTCTTAAACTATAAATCCTAAACTCCTGAAATTTTTACCAGACAACAACAATCACCTTAGTAGCACTCCACAAAATTTCACATTTATTTGAGCATAAAAACTGCAGTTATGAAAAAGACAAGTAAGACTAGCATTCAAACCCTAACCTGCATAGATCTATTTTTACAGCTAAAACTTTAAACTAAAATATGCCATATTATAGATCTACTGCATAGACAATTTCATAAGGATTCCAAAAAGTCCACATTTGTTATTTTAGGATTTTTCTACTAATTAATACGGATTTTCAAAGTGTAGCATTCAAAACTGTAAAAACCAGAGAAAACAAGGAAATTGAAATCTTGCATCGGGGTCCCTGCGGAAAACATGAATTAATTGTCAGCGAATCGACCCTTCTTGGCACTATTCACTGGAGTCACAAGTTCTTCACAAAACCCCTGCCTTTTTCCCTTATTCGAGCGCAAGGTCCTCTTCTTCCTCCTCCGTGGAGCAACAGCAGCAAGACGCCGGCTGGCGCTTTCTTCCAGCCACCGTGGTGCTCACCGGCAAAAAGAAGGGGTGGAGGAGCATCAAGGGGGCATAGCGGACCAGTGGGACTAACTTTCTCGGCCCTAGACGAGCCCGAACGTGTTGGCCACGGCAGCGGTGATCTTGGCCTCCGACCATGGCGGCGCTGTGCACGGGCTGGCTATTCCAAATGCGCGAGAGACGCGAAGTGGAGGTGGATCAACGCCCTTGTAGCTGGGCGTGAAGTCTCGAGGGCAAGCAGCTCTGGGATGGTATGCAAGAAGCAAGCAGCTCGCCTGGCGGCATTTCATGCGGCCAAGGCGAGCGAGAGAGACATGAGCAGAGAGGGCGATGGGAGGCGAAGTGAGTGAACCGGGGGAGCTTCTACGCTTCGGTTTGAAGCAAAGGGGCGCGAGGTGGCGCGTGCACGCACGGAGGTCGGACACGCGTCGGCCATGGTGGGGCGCGCTCGGTGCATGGCATACGGTTAAGTCATTTCATCGAGTACGTGGCGTGCGCTGTGTGCCCATTGGAGTCCGTTTTGGGCCAGCTATTGTTCGAATCGGGCTATGGGCCTTGAAGCAAAATTCTTCATCTTCTGATGCTCTACAATCTTGATTAAGGGTGCTCGGCCATTAGGCTGTTGGATTAGCAGATAATTAGTACTAAACTTGATAGTGTCGTTGATTTGACAAATGACAAGCAAACATCCAAAATTGATGGTCGAAATGAAATGCAACTGGTGCCATCTTCTTGTATGTTTTTCCCCATCATGTAGCTCCAACTTTTACATTTGGATCAACTGAAGTTGCTTAGCAAAATTTGGAGAACGCGAATGCCAACAAAGGATGACAATGGATTCCGATTTAGAAATTTTTCTAAGTCTCAAAAACAGTCACAATTCAAAGTTCGAGCCTCGATTTGACTTACTTCCAAGCTGATCTAGCTCTTAGTCCAAAAACAAAGTTTGTTCTACATGATATGGACTACAACTTTCATTTAAGGTCCAACCTCAAAACTGGTATAGAATCTACTGTTCTAGTTTGACCAAAGTAGGATCACTATGAAACTTAAATTATCCGTTGTGACCCATTGTGGCATTTTCTTGGCATTTGCTCAACATGAACCTTTCATGACTTTTGTTGTAGAGTTAATCTAGAGTCATTTGGGCAAGGTTGCAAGGTTTGATTGATGATCGAGAATTCCCTTTACTTTATGAATAATTCAAGCAACGACATAACTCGTCATTTCATGTGACTTCTTGATTCCAAACTTCACGAAACTTTTTCATGGATCAATATAGGTGGTTATTGATGTGAGACACACGAAGATATTCCAATAACACCACCCAAGCATATATCTTGAAAAGGGGTCTATAGGCGAGCAAAGGTGCAATCTCCAAGTTTAGGTTGGGGCTCGTTTCTATAGGTTCGACCTTGACATCTTCATCATCACTTAATATACCAAGTTTTAGCTCAAACCCATTGCTTAACTGGTGGCAAACACCTGGGGTGTTACAAAAATACCCCTTAATTAATCACTCATTGGTATGCTAAATCACATCTTAAACGGCTTTCTTTACCGGTATGGAGGGAGTATTTATGTAAGTTTCGAACCTTTTAAATGTATTATCGTAATTTGGTTAATTTATAGCTATGTTTGTTAAACTTTTTATTTGGATTTTATAATATTACACATGAAAATTTTTTATTAGAACTATCCTGGTCTTAGATCCTGGGTCCGCCACTGCAGCGAACAGGCTAAAGGATCGTCTGATTTCGAGAAGGAGAGCGCGAGAGAAATTCGACACACGTCTCGTCAAGCAGCACTTGGAAATTGGAATCCGTCATAGGTCCGGGTGTCCAAAACGGCATGAATACACTTGTGCAGAGAACTAGGGCGTGATTGGTGGCCTGTACCCGGTCTGAATCTGATCTGATCTGGAGCATGCTGGAATCTGCAGTTTGTTCCCTACATGGCCGCCATGGCCTGGTCGTCCGGATGCAAAACGCCTCGCCGAGCCAGGCTCCCGTTTCTCTCAAGCTTAGCTCGGACACGCGCAATGGCTTGTACTAGAGAGAGCAAGTGCAGCAGCAGACAAACGAGCAAGCAACCAAACAACTAATGTGCTCATCCCATATATATTCATCATTCAATCAACCAAACATCATGATCTTGCATGCACTAGGTCTGTCCAAACTTGGTCAGGCTGGTAGGAGCAAGCCAGACTCTCCTCATCATCAAACCAATCACACCCTGGCTGTGCAGAGTCAGGCCACATCTCTCGAGAGGATATCCCGTCGAATCTGAAGCTCTCTGCAGGCTTAGGCCATAGTGGACCCCAGCTAAATGAAAATAACATGACTTTCTGTGATGTAACAGCATTCCCAAGATTTCAAATCCATCGCGTATGTGTACAAGCAGCAAGCAATTTCAAACCCATCACATACGTGCACAACAGCACAAGCAACATTCACAACCCAAACTCAGACAGCACAATGCGATTCAGATGTCAAACGTCGTCATATGTTTCCAAAGAACACAGAAATTCACTCGCAGGGTTACCACTTACCAGGAAACCAATAAAAGTCTTCATACGAGGGTCGATGGCAATCCAACACAAACGGGTGGAGTAACAGGGACAATGTTAGACAGTCATTGTTATAGCTAACAGTTACAGGCTTGTGAGCAAACCTCAATGACGACGATTTCACACAATTGAGCACGGGAACACAGCGAACATGGTCTACATCTTCAAAGATACACTTATCATGTGAGATCACATGCAGCTACGCTCTTTCTGCTTCAATTTATTGTTGAGCCTGGATTTGCTGCTCAAGCTGCATTGAAAGATGATAATAGGTCAAGAATGTAAAGCTAGAGCGCTAGTATGAGCATTAATTTACATAGTTTTGCAAATGCGCTTCTATTATCTTATCAAGATAACTAGCAGAAATTCAATTTAAGCTGAAAAATCAAACACTTTTGGCCACTTAATGCTGTCCCATGTATTCATGTAAGCATAAAGAAAAACTCGATCTATGGGAAAGACCACTCCCACAGCATTGCACTAAGAAACTTGTCGTGCACAGGCCAAGAAATACACTAAAGGTGCCAGCTGCCCTGGATGTGCCACCGAGCGTCTAGGACACATGCTTGTGGGCATATGCATCTGGCTAAAAGCGAACTCAGGTGGTTATACGTATAACTCAAGAACACAGCTTACAGGGTGTCAGGACATGAGGTGCTACTAAGAGTCTGTTTGTTTGAGTTGTAGCTCTTGGACTTTTGGCTGAAAAACTGGCTTTCTAGCTTTTGGCTTTTGGCTGTTATTTTTAGCTGTTGGCCTTTATAATAAATATTTAGCTTCTCAGCACACCAAAAGCCAAAAAAAAACCCTACTCTCAGTGTGCTTTTCAGCTTTTAGTTTTTTTTTTTGAAATAAAGCTTTTAGTTTATTTCATCAGAAGCCAACTTTCCCAGCTTTTCAAAAACCAGCTCAACATCTGGGCAGTTTGTTTCAGCTTTTATGTGCCAGCTAACAGGCCCTAAGGTTTGGTTCACGCCCTGGCCTGGGGGGCTACAGCCAGGCATGTCAATCCAACCCCAGGCGCTCAAACAAACGTCTGGGATGGATGCCTGGCCCAGGTAAGTTTCCTAGGCTGGGAACCAAACAGACCCTAATTCTCCTATGACCACTAGGCTATGGACCCGTTCGCGTTCATGTAAGCATAAAACAGTTCTTCTATACAAAATTCAAGAGTGAGCAAGGACAGGGCTATTGTTTTTGCCTTGTTGAACATACGATCCATTTTCACTATGGTAGTTATCACCTAGTAAAAACATATAAGTAAAGCCGTGTAAACACATATGGTATTTACCTGAAGCATAGTCTGAAATTTATTGCGCAGATCATAGAACTCATTTCTCACAACAGCCAATGCCATGATGCACCTGAAATTATGCAGATTTATCATATTCACTAAAACTTGCAGAGTTTGATAAAGAAAAACTCAATACATCTCAGTATTTAGTCACCGTATGGAAACCAGCAAAATTACATGAGAATAATCAAGAATTAGCATGTTCAGATAATGAAACAAGAGCAACTGATTTTCTTATTACAAATCTTAGTGACTAAAGAATTGGCACAAGCTGAAGGTAATACCATGCAAGACAAGATCGTCTAGCAGGCCCAGTCACATGTATGAAGAAATAAACAACATAGAGAATGGGGACTAAAATCATGGTATGGCATATATACTATAAGTCAAGTTGCTGAGTACTGACCCGTCTCTGTTCTTATCCTGACATAACTGACGGAACTGCATGCAAGTAAACTTCACTTTCTGAGCTCCAACACTGGAACAGGTAAAAAAAAGAAGAGATCAGACAAATAGCAGCAAACTGGTTCAGTTATAATGATTCTGAACACCATTTCTAGCAATGGAAGCTACCACATAACAAAAGAATAATAAGCTTTAACTTTAAGGCTCAACTCTGGAGCAAGTTGACAACTTGACTTGCTTGATGGGGTAGTAACAATGATCTACCGTACAAGTTCTGGGTAAGCGTGATAAGTATTTTCTATAGCATGCCACAATAATGACAACAGCTGCGAGTCCATCTGGCAAGCGCACAACAACTGAATATGAGGCTCTGGGCTTGATCAGCAGAGTACAGATTTTATATTGGGAGGATTGAGATATGATCCAGCAATCCGAGATCCAATCTACATCAAAGGGTCAACGTTGCACGAGGCTCATAATTCCCAAGGCAGGAAAAACCGAAATGCTTTACCATTAGTCCATGACAAGCAAGTAAATGTTTAAGCATCCTACTGCCGTCAGATTCCAGTTGGTGAAACTACCATTTCAATAGCTTACAATTTTGTATCACCATTTTACTTGAACAGGTGTAACATGGGAAGCGGCAAGAATATTCAGAATTCCAGTGCAAAATGTTGCACACAGTTTGTATGATCCTCCTAGCGGTTAGCCTATGACAGCAACCACAGCACAAGCGCTATATATAAACAGCAGCACGTCTACTCATCTAGGCACAAGGCACAAATACATGGACGCAGAGTTGTCAAGAGTGCACGTCTGCTAGTTTACATCTAGGCACGTACAGTCACACGCACGGACAGCTAGCACCGGGCTGAGGGGGCACACCGCACACCGAATCAAATCGCGTCCCAAAAATAGAAAGCGCACAGAAATTGGGGTCAATATCAGACGTGGGGTGATCACCTGGCGCTGCTCCCTTTGAGCTGATGCACGTAGGCGTCCACCTTATCGAAGTCCACGATGGGCTGCTCCCTGCAAGCAATGCAAATCCCAGAGCAGGGCAAGGGCAAGTCAATTGATCCTGTCTGTCTGCATAGGGCAGAAGGTAGGAATCGACAGCAACAACAATAAAGGACTGGGTAGTCAGGGACGAAGAGGGCGTACAGCAGGGCGGCGAGCTCGGAGATGATCCTGTCGGCGTCGTCGCAGAAGAGGGTGACGACCTCGGCGACGAAGCCCGGCGTTCCCCCGTCTTCCTGCAGCATCTGCAGCTGCTGGAACTGGTCGTCCACCAGACCCTACACGGGAACCGCGACATATAAAAAACACAAAATCACTAACTCCTTCATCCCAATTCGATCAATCAGCACGGAACACAGAGAGGCCGGACTCACCGAGGCGAACATGGAGGAGAGGAGGGCGTTGAGCTGCTCCCTCAGCGCGGCGGCCGCCATGGCAGCTTGCTTGCTTGCTTGAAGAGCCGGAGCCGGGGCCGGAGTGGGCGGTGGTGGCGTAGGAAGTAGGCAGAGCTGGGAAGGAATCGAGGTGGTGGGGTGGGGTGGGGTAGGTGAGTTGAATCCGATCCAAGCCGCGACGACCGCGATAGTGACGGGGGAATCTATTTATAAGCGCGGGCGCCGGTGAGGAGTGGTGGGGGATTGGATTCCTGAGCTGTGGCCACGGCGAGCCCCGCCGCCCTGCCCGTGCCCGGTGTCCGACTCGATGGATTCCTCCTTGCCTTCCTGTCCTGCTGCCGCGTCGACTGTCGATGCTTCTTCCTTTCCCCGATTTCCCTCTCTTCCTTCCCTTTATTTCCCTCTCCCCGTTTTCCTTTTCCTTTTTCTCGGGGTCTTCCTTTTCAGAGCCCTCGGTTCGATGCGCCTGTACACGTGTACGGCTGCTGTGGCATGGAGAGGAAAAAATAGCATTGCTAGACTAGCTTCTTTAATATCTGAATGAATAGCTTATAATTTCCACCATGGTGCCAATAAAATAAAATAAAATGTTAGTACAACATGGTTATTCTATAATTTATACTTTATATGGCGAAAAATAAGATTTTATGTTTTATATAGGAAAAAATAGCTTTGCGAAACATCTTAGCCCAAACTTAACTTGTAAAACTTAATCCACTATAGGTCAAAAAAGTTTACATGAAGGCCGTATATCCTTAATATGCCAACAAAACATTAGGCTATAGTTTAGGCCTTTGGTATGGCAGGCTTATCTTAAAACGAAGAAGTTAGGGAAATCTATACTTTTGTGGTTTCAACTTCTAGATAAAAATGGTTTTTGATTTCAACAGTTTTCGTTTTTCTCAAGCCATTCTTGTGTGTGCATATCAAAAACCCTACCGAAAAGGCCCATAATGTTTACCGTAAAATATTTGGTCGACTATGTGCCAGCTAAACTTTTTAATCCATAATTCAAAGATTGTCATTTAAAGTTGATATGCTATATGTTAGCAATTTCTTGTTGTAGTTTAATATTTGCCCTAGAAAACATGATCACAATATGCCATCTAAAGTTGTTTATGTTTTGGTTTAATATCTGTCCTAACATATATGCCAGCTAACTTTTAAACAACCTTAAATCAATACCCTCCTTCCTATAATACGGTGTATTCTAGCATTAAAAAATTATACTTGAATATAAGGGATTTCAGAGGGCAAGAGTTGTTTTTAAATAGTCACAAAAATTATGTATGTATTATATCGATACTTGTTGTTTATCAACTAATTTTCATTAATTATGCCAATGGTAGCGTCTGATTAGAAAATAAAGTAAGATCACACATGTCTTTTGTGTTCTCTCCTATTCTATCCTAAAATTCAGGATGTAGGGAGTATATGTCATTTGAGAACTATTTTTATTAATGTGAAACACGTCATCCACGATATGCGAGAAAATATTTTTTATTTGCCATAAAATACTATTGTCAGATTGCCCAGGCACATTCTTATGATACTAGCCACTGCTGCCCACGCTTCGTTGCGGGTGATGTGCTTGGTATAGGAAAAATCTTGGGAAATATGACTCATATGTCTAATATGTTTTCTCATCGTGTTGCTATGAAAGGTTGATCTCTTTGGTACATTAAATGGAAAAATATGGGAAGTAAATGTAACATGGTTTTTTTTCATTACAATGTTGTAAACGAACATAGAGGTTGGTTGTCATTACATGGTGCTTATTCTAGGCCATCAAATCAATGACATGTTAGTGGAAAGAAGTATTTGATGGAGTTGGACTCAAACAACTAACACACTTAGATTCAAAGCACAACATTGGCTAGGATTACATTATAAGTGGAAAGAACAAAAACTACAACACAAGTACGTCTCCTAACGTGAGGGTTTACAAAATAGTGAATTAGGATTCACTCCCCTTAGGCGAAACTACAACACATTTCATAAATCTAGAATTACACGAAAGATTACACGACGTCGAACACTAAATTACACGGGATTTAAAGTTACATGGTTAAGAGTAACCTAGTACAACCAGGGCTTACTCTAGAAGTTGGGATAGATGAGGGCAATGGAGAAACAACAAGATAATAATTATCTAAAACATGACGTATGACCAACAGATCCAGAAACAGGAGACTGAGAAGTCAAACATCGTGAACCCTAAGACCAAACTAACCAAGGGTAGACTTGAACTTCTTCAAAAACCAGATCCCTTCTTCTCAGATTACACCATCGCCTCTGTCAGACGAACCTAGTTCCACAATGACGACTAGATCTCGTAGCTCTGCTTTGAATTCGAGAGGGATGGGGATGAAGAAGAAGAGCAAGGACCAAGGGCATCTTATAGTGGCGAACGGAGATGGGGCGCAGCGCACCGGAAGTGGATACGGCATGGATGGGATACATTGTTGGTTCACGCTGTGGGAATAAAGTCAGCCATGGCGCGCTCCCTGCGCAAGCGAGCGGAGGGGGGAATAAAGGAGAGGAGAGAGTGTTCGCTCGACGAGGGAGGCATAAGGGCGACCGTGTCCCCAAAAGAAGAAAGAAGGGAGGGGGGTCCGGTACGGGGATGAGGGCGAGGATCAAGAGCGAACCGGAGGCCAAGAAAAGGAGAAGTGCACAGTGCACGAGGACGGTGAGTGCGGCACGATGTCACGGACATGCGAGGACAGGGTGCTAATAGGCCCGACACCGACGGCGTCCGTGGGGCACGCAGTGATAGCGACCCGGCGTGCGTAGCGTGGTCGAGCTGGGCACAGTGCTTGGGACTTAACATCCACTCAGGCTTTTCTAAGCACTCTCTACTACCCAAGGCTAACTTTTCTTAGGTGTTCTTCTTTCCTTCCCTTCTTTGTCCACAATATGTGCCAACCTTTGTATGAAGTGAGATCGCAACATACATGCTTCCTCCGAAACCACCTCCTCTTGTTTACTTTGAGAGAACACTATTTCATCAACCCGTTATGGATTTCCTATTGAAACACCTGAATATTTGTATCAAAAGTGGTATGGCGGTGTAACTTGGTAAAGGTACTTGGTCAACAACCTCGATACCAGCTCGTGCCGAGCAGCGTCACCATATGGCAGCTGTTCCACAGGGGCCCTCGGTTTTGTCGTGGCACCATAAGCTATTAACCAGGCAACTACTACCAACTTACACGCAATGAAGACGGTGGGGTCATAGACCATAGAATCAGAAGAGTATTGCAAGGGAAGATTCAAACAACAAGGGTTCCTTTCGCAACAAGGGGCAATGACTTGAAATCCAACAATGGATTTGATTTAAAGAGATTCAAGTGTTCTGCTGGGACATCCATAATTAGTTGATACAGTGTCCTATGTTATCCAATCATGGCTGGTCTGCTCGCATCCGAATGGTAATTTCTCTTATAACCCACTTAACATCGCCCTCGAAAACCCTAAGCACATCTAACGAGACTTAAGGTAGATGGACACAATAACACAGTGAAATAAATAAAATGCATATTCCAAACGTCCTTATGCTGGTACAACATACAGGCACCTACTCTTCCATTCTCGACACATCGTTCACCTTTCCTACAATCGGACTACCTCAACAACTATGGACGAAATACAATTGAAAGATTACAATACCGATGGACAGCGATGAAAGACACTACTAACTACGGGTACATCATCCCAAGGCAACTAATCTACTTTAGACCACGCATCTTCATTCTTGGGCTCGGTGGAATCTTCTACCGCCCTGGCTATGGATCTGCCTCCTCTCTTGGTAATGGTTGAGTGAGAGGAATCAAGGGTTCTACTTTTGACACTTCCGAGGGTGGAGGTGCTGGCGGTACTGCAACACCGGTTCTCCTTTCTGGTGGGTGGATAGGGATCCCCTCCATGATCAAGGGATCCTGCCATTCAGCAACCAACGTCCTCCGCTTGGCCCTGGTGACAAGGTAGGCCTCTCCCAACTAATGGGCATGTCGATCTTCAGCCTCCTTCAGAGCTTCCAACATGGCAGTCTCCCAACTCTTAGTGGCTGCTGCACTGGCATGCGCTTTGGCAAGCTGCACCTAGAGCATCCTAGAGAAGATCTCGTCTTCCTCGGCTCGTCGAAGGCACTTCCTTAGATCCAAGGCTTGCCGGTCATACTGTTCATCCAGAGCAAGAAGGTACGTGGTCAAGTGCACCGTGGTAGGACTATCTTCTTGCGCATCCCACCCTTGCAAAGCCTCCATGCGAGCCCTCCATGCTCGTCGATTCTTTTCCAAAGGTGGAAAGAACCTCATGGGGGTACGGGCAATGGGCTCTTCATAGATCTGGCAAAGGTACCACAAGGCTTTGCGGCCCACAACCTGGTAGGTGTCGACGAAGCAAAACCCGGTTGCGGTCACATTCCAGGCTTTAGTGATGTCGGGGAACTCTTCACTCTTCCCAATGTAGATTGTAACTTCACACCGCTTAGTGCCATGCTTTTCATACTCATGACCCTCATACTCGAGACGATCTTTGACTCCAAGCTTTTGCTGGGTGGCATACAGGATCTTTGGAAACCCCCCTATGTTCAGGTAGTAACTACTAACCCAGGGCTCCTACCATCGCTAGCGGTGGTTGCAAGGAAGGACTGAGCAGAAAGCTGGCTCAAAAGGAAAAGCTAGGCGAGCTAAAGTGAACCGGGTGGTGGTACCAATAGCTAAGCCAGACCCTGCTTATAAAGGTAGAGCGATCAGTGGTCTTGGCGTGGTCCACCAAGGTTCCAGCATGAGATCACTATAAATGAATCGACCAAAATTTTCGCGCGTTTGAGGCGAGCGATGTCCGAGGCCATTAATGACTAATATGGCTGCAAGACAAGGTTCCGATAAGAGCATAGAAAAGAGTACGGGGAGACGTGGGTCACGGCAGGCGTGAACCACAGGCGACGCGAAACACAAAGCCATAGTTTAGCATTAACTCCAGAATAGGAACGAGTCAGGCGTGCACCATTGAAAACTCTAGTTTGGTTTTGG